ATAAACATAAAGCTTATACACTATATTGCCAAAAGTATTGGAACACCTGCTTTTCCATCACATGAACTTTAATGGCATCCCAGTCTTAGTCCGTAGGGTTCAATATTGAGTTGGCCCCGCCCCTTTACAGCCATAACAGCTTCAACTCTTCTGGAAGGTCGTCCACAAGGTTTAGGAGGGTGTCTATGGGAAAGTTTGACCATTCTTCCAGAAGCACATTTGTAGGTCAGACACTGATGTCAGACAAGAAGGCCTGGCTTGCAGTCTCCGCTCTAATTCATCCAAAGGTGTTCTATCGGGTTGAGGTCAGGACTCTGTGCAGGCCAGTCAAGTTCCTCCACCCCAAACTCGCTCATCCATTACTTTATGAACCTTTTTTGTGCACTGGTGCACAGTCATGTTGGAACAGGAAGGGGCTACCCCCAAACTGTTACCACAAAGTTGGGAGCATGACATTTTCCAAAATGTCTTGGTATGCTGATGCCTTAAGAGTTCCCTTCACTGGAACTAAGAGGTCAAGCCCAACCGCTGAAAGATAACCCCACATAATAATCTCCCCTCCACCAAACTTTATACTTGGCACAATGTAGTCAGGTAATTACCATTCTCCTGGCAACCAAACCAAACACGTCCATTGGATTGCCAGACTGAGAAGCATGATATGTCACTCCAGAGAACACGTGCTCACTGCTCTAGAGTGCAGTGGTGGCATGCTTTACACTACTGCATGCGCCGATTTGCATTGCACTTGGTGTTGTAAGGCTTGGATGCAGCTGCTCGGCCATGAAACCCCATTCCATGAAGCTCTCTACACACTGTCGTTGTGCTAATCTGAAGGCCGCAAGAAGTTTGGAGGTCTTTAGCTATTGACTCTGCAGACAGTTGTCAACTGTGTGCTCCAGCCTGCACTGGCCCCACTCTGTCATTTTACGTGGCCTACCGCTTGGTGGCTGAGTTGGTGTTGTTCCCAGTTGCTTCCACTTTGTTATAATACCACCAACAGTTGACCGTGGAATATTTAGTAGCAAGGAGATTTCATGGATGGACTTATTGCACAGGTGGCAACCTATCATGGTACCACACTTGAATTCACTGAGCTCCTGAGAGCGACCCATTGTTCCACAAATGTTTTTAGAAGCAGTCTGAATTCCTAGGTGCTTGATTTTATTTACCTGCGGCCATGGAGGTGATTGGAACACCTGAATTCAATGATTTTGCAGGGGTGTCCCAATACTTATGGCAATATATTGTATGTCTTTGTTGTTTAAAAATGAAATAAAAATTATCCACAAAAAAAAGCCCAAGGTCAAAGTAGCTGCCATCACACATCACAGACAGTGCAGTAGTACCCATGTCTACAACAATGAAGTCATACCATACTTATCAGAAATTGAATATTGCAGAACTCCATGGTGGGTCCAGGTGGGTGGTGGAGTAGCAGGTGTAGGAGAAAGAGACCAATGTGCCAACATTTCCTCTACATTCTTCTTTTTTCTTTTTTTACAAACTTTGCAATTTCTTAAAAGCATCAATCATGTTGTCATATTTTACTACTGGCCATAGCCAGTCTCTACATACAAGGAAGTCCAGCAACCCTATTTTTATGTTACATGATAGCTATAGAACCAGAAAAAAAATAATACAAAAAAGATCAATCTATAATACAACTTAACACTGACATTTAAATACTATTCACTCTCCCACAATGAACTGGAAATCAAATTGCTAGCTGTGAGGCAAAACAGTACATATGTTTTTTTTTCTTAGAAACTTTGACACAGATGCTCATTGTATTTGTATTTATCTTCCTGCAGACAGTGAAAACTGCATGAAATGTCCTGATGATGAATGGCCAAATGAGAAGAAGGATCGGTGTGTTCCAAAATCGTTGGAATTTCTCTCCTACACTGAGGATACAATTGTTGCAGTATTTTCATCTGTCTCCATCTTCTGTTGTCTTCTGACTGGTATAATATTGGGGATATTTCTACATTACCAGGACACCCCCATTGTTAAAGCGAATAACCGGAACCTGAGCTATCTTCTCCTGGTCTCCATCATGCTGAGCTTCCTCTGTGTCTTCTTGTTCCTCGGCCGTCCAGTAGATGTAACCTGCATGCTGCGTGTAACCTCTTTTGGTGTCATCTTCTCAGTTGCCGTCTCTTCTCTACTTGCCAAAAGTATCATGGTGTGTATTGCTTTTAAAGCCACCAAACCTGGAAGTCCCTGGGAAATGGATGGGAGCCAAACTACCCAATCTTATAATCTGTGTGTTCTCACTTGTTCAAGTCATAATCTGTGTCACTTGGTTGTCTATTTCTCCTCCCTTCCAGGATCAGGACACTCACTCTTATCAGGGAAAGATCATCATTCAGTGTAATGAGGGTTCAGTTATCGGCTTCTACTCTGTCCTGGGATATATGGGGCTTCTGGCAGCTGTGAGCTTCATTATAGCTTTTTTAGCCAGGACATTACCGGACAGTTTTAATGAGGCCAAGTACATCACCTTCAGCATGCTGGTGTTCTGCAGTGTCTGGATTGCCATGATCCCGGCCTATCTGAGCACTAAAGGGAAAAACATGGTGGCTGTGGAGATTTTTGCTATAATGGCATCAAGTATTGGACTTCTTGGTTGTATATTTTTCCAAAAATGTTACATAATTCTGTTCAGACCTGACCTGAATACAAAAACAGGTTTGCTTGAAAACAGAGGATAATATATATTTAATGTTTTATATAATATAAAGAGAGAGATAGAAAATTACTTTGTTAATTTTCATTACAATTTTGCAAATGTTATTTTCTCAGTGTATTGAGAATGACCGCTGTTAAATTTTCATATTTCAGGCTTTTTTCCAAAGGACCATGCATTTATTTATTGCTCTCTTGAAAAGCTATGGACATCTCTGATATCTGACACTTTGAATTTGTTCAAAACTTTGTTCCCTGTTGAGTTTAAAGGTTCCTCTTACTGGCAGCCACATCACTACAGAACAGCCTTTTTCATCCAGGGTGCCCAACTTTCTAGCCACCAACAACATAAACAACCAATGATGTCATCAGTTGATAAGAAGGACATGGGGCCCCTGCACAGCATTTTGCTTGTCCCTCTTCTTCCCCTCTCTGTCAGCTCTGGAGACATTAGCTAAGTGAGAAAGAGAAACTGAGGAAGAAGAGAAACAATGGAATACTGGCCAGTACCAGTGTGCAAAGGTGTATTTGCTTTGAAAAAGAATAAATCACCTTTGACGTTGAGTGCCCCACATGTGCAGATGTTGCTGTGTTCTCTGAAATTGTTAATTTAGTTTTTTACATTTTGCAATTTGTGCCTCAAGATTGTGCAAAATTTTAAAGGGTGCCTTGACTAGAAAAGGTTGAAAAACACCGCTACAGAGCACAATAGTTACTTATTGAGGGGAGGAGCCACAGTGACCAGATGGGGGGGGGGGGGAGTATCCAAAGCATCCTCAAGTATTAGATACCAGTCCCACCCTCAGGTCTTCAAAAGAGAGATTTCACTTATGACTTTCTACACAAGAAAATATTAACATGTTCTTTTATAATCTGTTTGTAATACTGTATATGTTTTAGTGACAGAGTTGTTTTAAATACACTGCTCAAAAAAAATAAAGGAACACTTTTTAATCAGAGTCTAGCATCAAGTCAATGAAACTCCTGGGATATTGATCTGGTCAGGTAAGTAGCAGAGGTGGTTGGTAATCAGTTTCAGCTGTTTTGGTGTTAATGAAATGAACAACAGGTGCACTTGATGGGCACCAATAAGATGACCCCCAAAACAGGAATGGTTTTTAACGGTGGAGGCCACTGACATTTTTTCCCCTATTCTTTTCTGACTGTTTTTCACTAGTTTCCCATTTTGTTAGGGACAGTGTCACTACTGGTAGCATGTGGTGATACCTGGACCCTGCAGAGGTTGCACAGGCAGTCCAACTCCTCCAGGATGGCACATCTTACGTGACATTGCCAGAAGGTTTGCTGTGTCTCCCAGCACAGTCTCAAGAGCATGGAGGAGATTCCAGGAGACAGGCAGTTACTCTAGGAGAGCTGGACAGGGCCATAGAAGGTCCTTAAAGCATCAGCGGGACCGGGATCTGCTCATTTGTACAAGGAGGAACAGGAGGAAGGATGAGCACTGCCAGAGCCCTACAAAATGACCTCCTGAATGTCTCTGACCAAACAATCAGAAACAGACTTCATGAGGGTGCCCTGAAGGTCACAACCTCTAATATGCCCTGTGTTCTCTGCCCGGCATCATAAGCTCGATTGGCATTTGCCATTGAACACCAGAATTGGCAGGTCTGCCACTGGCACCCTGTGCTTTTCACAGATGAGAGCAGGTTCACCCTGAGCACATGTGACAGATGTGAAAAGGTCTGGAGAAGTCGTGAAGAACATTATGCTGCCTGTAACATTGTTCAACGTGAGTGTTTTGGTGGTGGGTCAGTGATGGTCTGGGGAGGCATATCCATGGAGGAACGCACAGACCTCTACAGGCTAGACAATGGCACCCTGACTGCGATTAGGTATTCAGTCCTCTGTAGGTTGATAATTTTCATTTCCACCAAAAGATGGGGCATCCTTACATTCCCAACACTTTACCCCAGTCCATATCAGTACAGATATCCAGCAGGAGATTTTTCCCCATTGAGATCTGATGTGTTGTCAAAGTGTTCCTTTACTTTTTTGAGCCGTGTATATTATGTAGATGTATCTGACTATATTAACAAATGCAGTTTGCTATTGTGTATTCTAAAATAATTTTTAATATTAGTTAAAGTTGATGCAATCATACTCATAATAAGTTCACACTTTTAAGAGATATATCACTTCATTTTAACCCTTTTGCTACCACATGGCATACGTCAGCAGCAGTGGTGGGATTTACACTCATTCCTGACTGACAAGGCAATTGTTGGCTGTCAGGTGGAAGTGATCAGGCAGCTGTTCAACTGTTAAATCTCTTCCATGGACCTCCAGTAGTGTGGTTTCCCCACCATGTTTCCTGGGCTCTGCTGTCCCACCTGAAAAAAAAAAAAAAACAACAACAAAAAAAAAGACTTTGCTTAAAACAGGGTTTCTCAATTAGGCTTCCTCCAGAAGTTGCTAGGGGTTCGTTAAGCAATAAGTAATTTCTGCCTTTCAGATAAAGTCCCACTGACACCATTAATCTTTTTAGCTTTTTGTAAGAGGTACAATGACCCAATGACCACAAGTGAAAGGAGCATTCTTCCCACTGAATATAATTCTAATGTATCATGAGTTGTAGATATAGTGATTTTTAGTAGGGGTTCCCTGAGCCTGGAAAGTTGTTTTTCAAAGGGTTCTTCTGTGTTGAAAAGGTTGAGAAGGGCTGGCTTAGAAAGCTTAGAACAATACAGTACAGCACAAGAAGACACTGAAAGAAGACAAAACCCTAACCAAAAAAAAAATATTGGGAATTTTAAGGTGCCACACCAATAACAATCATAAATATTATGTAAAAATGAGCTTTATTATACAAAATAAAAGACACATTGTAGTACAAAAGCTAAGCATAAACATATTCTCTGAAAACATATACAACTACGTCTTGTAACAATAGAGACATTAAGCTGGATGTAAATAATTCCACGGTTGTATATTAAGTCAATGAAGAGATTACATTTTGATGTATAAAACACTGACACGTTTCACTGGGCAAAGCCAGCTTCCTCAGGGAGGTCTAGTATTAATCTCTAGGATCATAAGCAGCACCATAGTAAACAAACAGAAAAAAACAGAAAAGATAAAACAGAATACATTGTACATTTTACTAAAGTATATCTATATATCCAAAGACGTAGTACCTATTGTTCAAAGTTCACAATGAAACTCACTCACAGCGAACGAGAACCACAATCATCCATTTTGAAGGAGGACCAATTCATTAAATAAATGTAAACATATATAGCATAGAGATGAAGCAAATATACAATAGGTCCTATAGAAAAATACATTGAAATGGTCAAAATAAGCAAAGAAAAAAAAGAAGTACTTAAAAAGGAGGAACAAAGGAAGTAACTTTCTAAACTGAGCTTCTTAAATAAATGTAATAAATACTCCATCAATAGTGTCTTAAAGGCCCAAACAGTTCCAAACTACACCCCTA